TTCTGAGATGTTAGCATTGCGTTTAGGTCAGAGGAGAGTGTTCAATCCGCCACGCTTTGATAACTAAAGTAAAATGCTGATGGAGATCATTTCAGATCGTCTCTCTGCTGTTGATTGCATGCTTGTGGTTCATAATCAGAATGAGGCAAAGTAATTGTTAGAATGACTTGCCAAGGATACATTTTGTGTCGCTGCAACTGTCAGCACTTTAGGTCCACTGTTCTGCCTGAGAGTGCTTGCCTGGCATCCACTGGGCAGCTAACACACAACTCTTCCTTAGCTACCATGGCTAACTTTTTTTCTAGCATCTACCCCCCCTCCTCTAAAAATTACCTGCAAAAGAAGGGACTATTTAGTGAAAGCAAGCCCTTACATTTGTGTGTGTGTGTGTGTGTTTTATTGAATATTAAAGTATAGAGACTTGGATATAAACATCCATATGTGTGTTGCTACAAAGCTCCTTTCTTTGGCCAGGAAACCTTGACAGTCTTAGCTTTGTCGCTTACTGGTTATATAACCAGGGCTGATTCCTTTTATTAAGCCTTGTTTTCCTCATCTCTGTATCTGTGGGTCTAAGAGAACCTGTTTTCCAGAGCTTTTATTAGAATTAGAAATGACAGGTTAAAAAAATGGTCAGCAGAAATCACCCACTCTGTTAAAGGGAGTAGCTAATATTAAAGGATGCTTTCTCAGGATGATCTAATACAATGGTATGTTAGATTTCCATCACTGGAATACCTGAGAGAATGAACTCATAAAGAGAAAAGGGTCATTCTGACTCACAGTTTGGGAGGTTCCAACCCTATCCTATGATCACTCGGCCCCCTTTCTTTCTGAGTCTGGGGCCAAGTAGCCGATGGCAAAGCGGAACTGCTCACCCCATGATCTGGGATCAAAGAAGGAGGGGCTGGAGTTCCACCATGCCCTCAAGGACTTCTCACTAAACCCTACCATTTGTGTACTTTTCTTTTGGCTTGAACTCAGAGGCTGATGCTTACTAGTCAGGTGCTCTCCCAACGGAGCCACACCTCCAATTCTAGACCCCACCTTTTTACAAGTTGTACCACTTCCAAGAGCACCACCCTGGTGTCTAAGTCTCTAATACATGAGCCTTTAAAGGCCAACTATAGCCTCAAAGCCTACTGTGACAATGGAAATGTATTATCAACCAGTTTCCCTTGCTAAGTCATACTAGCAGAGACATATAGCTGGATGCAGATGTTAGCATATGAACCTTGTCTGCTGGAGAGGATGTGTGATGAATCATCTTGTGTATACCTTCAAAAGATACAAAGGGCCCTTTGAAGGCAAATTTAAGGATGCGTGTAATTTAACTTTGAATGCCTGAAAGGGGAACTACACGATATACCACTCATCCTGAACATCTGCTGCTTGCTTGTGGGGAAATCAGTGTCTAACAGAGAATCAGACAACACAAGTTTCTGGTTAGCACTACACACATCTCACCAGCACCTAAATTGTAGTATCCAAAAAGATGTTTGTAAAATGTAGCTCGGTTCATAACAAATTTAAGGTCTGTGGTTATCTCCAAGTGTTGATTCTTTTATACATGATCAAAATAGAACAGTAGAACATCTCCACTGAGATGTCCCCCACCATAAATTGTGCCCTCTAAAAGTCTCATCAGCTGGAGCAAGAATAGAATATTTAGGAGAAGGTGGCTGAAGGGAGCATTCCAAGGCTCTGCCATTTCTTTAGGTTTTCACAAATCCGGCTCTGGTCTCTACTTGGTTTCTCCACCTGTGTCTCTCCAGGATTTTTTTTTTTTGGGAGGGGGTCCCGTCGTGGGGCCTGACCTCTGGGCCTGGGCGCTGTCCCTCAGCTCTTCAGCTCAAGGCTAGCGCTCTACCACTTGAGCCACAGCGCCTCTTCCGGTTTTTTTCTTTTTGCTTATGTGGTGCTGAGGAATGGAACCCAGGGCCTCAGGCATGCAAGGCAAGCACTCTACCACTGAGCCACCTTCCTAGCCCTCTCCAGGATTTCTTAATAGGTTTCTTGTTTGGCATTTCTCTGCTACCGCAATGTGTCCTGTCTTTCCCTGCTGTTCCCTGCTAGCCTTTCACCTCTTGCCTGCTGGCAACTCTGAAAAGTTTCAACTCTGAAAAGTTGAGCTTCATTCACAGCTAGAGGAAAAATGATCTCCACAGCCTGTTTTGATGATTATGGATCTAGACAGACTTGCCCAGCTTACTCTAAAGTGGCATCTTTCCAATCATTGTTAGAAGTGTGAACGCAATTTTTTTCGATGGAAGGAAAAGACATGTCATATGATTCATACAACCCAAACCTATCATTCTCCCTGAGAAGAAGACTAGACATTGCACAAACATTCCCCCTTTTCATACCTTCTTGGTGGTCTTGATATTCTTAGGATTCCAACCTCAAATAATGCAACTTAATTTCTAGGGCTTCTTGGGACTCTGTAATATTCAGTGTGTCTCTCTGCATATCATTAATTCTGCCATGATAGGACTGAACACAAGGATACCTGTTTAACTTCAGACTTACAATTTCTTCCTTTGAAATAGGCATCCCTAGCTATTGTGATTTCTAATCTTTAAAATTTTGTCCCCTTCCAACATAGTAGATGTGATTTTATTCCCTGGTATATATGTTCGTTTGTATTCTTCTAAGCCTACACCCACTCATACCCAAACAATTTTTTTGTTGTTAAGGCTTATTATATTTATGCAATCTGCCTTTTTCCATCTTGAAGAAAATGTAGACGAGAAAGAACACACATGCTACCACAATGTGTAGCCGTTGCTCATAAATATGGATACTTTGGAAGATTCTGTAAATTCAACAAATAAATATTTATTGGTTTATTCTTCCAATGCAATACTCTGACAGTGCTTAAAAATTATGATGCGGATACATTTATTAATGTTCAAAGATGTTCTAATAAATCATAAAAAATATCAGGCAGTAAAATAATATGAATTCTTTGCTAGTGTGTTATAAATGCATTGTATACATATGTATAAGTTCATTTCTGTAAGCATGTGTTTAATATACTGTCTATCGTTGGGTGTAGGAGAGAGCCAGAAGCCATATATATGAAAATGTGGAAAACAAGACATAAGCTGACTCCTGTGACTGGGATTTTTTGCATCCATATTATCTAATTGTTCTATATTAACCGGTTTTGTTCTGTTGCTATTTGTCTCATCTAATTTGGGGATGGAATGGGGGTAAAGCGATGAGAGTGCAGGTCCTCACATCCAGGTGAATTATCAAATTATATAAATCTCTCCTCGCATCTCTCTTCTCTTGTTACAGATATGCAAATGCATTGGGTCAAATGGTAATAGAGGCATTTCTTTTTATTAAGTCTCTTCCACCTGCCAAACAGTACAGTGAGAACTTGAGAAGATATAGGCAGCAGGTATTATTATTGCCATTATGCAAATGAGGAAAGAGCTCAGAGCGTTCCCATGGCTGGAAGGGCACGGCTAGGAGGTGACAGAGCCGAGAGGCAGACTGGTGTCTGACTTTCAACTCCATGTTTCCTGGTCTTTATCATTTTTCCTGTAGACATCTTATCTGTCATTAGAATAACAAACAAGTCTGTGTATCAGTGTGTCTGTGTGTGTACTGTATAAGGTTGCTTTTAAAAAAATGTCATAATGTACCATCTTTCACTGCTGGTGTTGTTTCTAGCCACCTTTTCAATTAGACCAGGTCATTTTTTTTGTAGTCACAACATGTTAAGAGGCCTCCCCAATTCTAGGACAGTTTGACAAGATAATGGGTGTCACCTGAACCTGTGTTGAGTTTTCTCTGAGACTTTAAGAGGTACCTTTCAGATTCTGAGACAGAGTCTAGTATGTGGCATCCAGCCAGCTAGTGGACGTGTCAACAAGGAAACTTTCCTCCTGGCCCCAGTGCCCAGGCCATCCTGCTCTTAGGCAAGGGGCAGGAAAGCAGCAGACTTCTGCCAGCTTTGAGAATGAGTCCCAGAGGCTCTGAGAGCATGTGAACCTTGCCAAGGGGACCTCAGCAATTCCAAGAACTTTGTTTCACAGCCCCCTCCTAGTTCTGTAAGGACTAGTCTGCAGACATTTTTAAAAGTTGCGTCTTGAACTGAATTGCTTCTGTGGTGTAGATGAAAGTCTTTTGCTGTCACTTCCTTATCTGCTTCCAGACTTTCTCTGTCCAACTCTCACACCATATCAATTCCCATCCTGGTTTGGCAGGCGTCAAACACCATAGCTTCCTCAAGGGATTGCTCAGTTGGCTTGATAGATGGCCTCTAGCACCTCTCAGCCAAATCCATGTTTCCCTATCAACCTAATCACAGATGGCTGTGGGTAATAGACTTGAGGGTATGCCATTGTTTGAAAAGGACCAAGTATGATAAATGGAGTCTTGTGAATATTTATTGAGGTATCTTTCATCAGCCCCATGGAGGGCATGCTGTACAGGACATTTTCCTTATTTATTTATTTTTGTCTATACCAATGCTTGAACTCAGGATCTCACACTTGCTGGGTTCGCTTAGCTAGCAACGTGATGCCTCCAGACCAGCATGTTGCTGGGTAATTGGAATCTCTTGAATCTTTGTGCTTGGGTTGGCTTTGAACTAAGATCTAATGTTCTCATTCTTCTGAGTAGCTAGGATTACAGGTATGAGCACAGCACATGTCTTTGGACAGGATATTTTAAATGGCCCACTTAAAAACTATGTACCATAATATATGCTCCTTGTCAGAAGAATCGTCCAGTTCATCACAAAATTATCCATGGTTCTGATTATTTTTTTGCAGATTGATTATTTAAAGCATTGTGTTTAAATTCATGTAGTTAACCAAACAGGTCTTCATCCATTGTTAATCAAATGTGTATCATGAATCTAGTAAGTGCCAAAGTAGGTGCTGAAATTCCCTACAATTGCTAGGCCTGCTTCCCTGTGCTGACTCAACAAATGGACTTTATATTGTCTTCTTAATTTTTTTCCTTTCTTTTCTCTTTTTCAGTTTTCCAAAGAAATTAGACCAAAATTTTCTCAGTGACAAGACACAAACCTGCTGTGTTCAGAGGGTGAGTGATCCAAATGTTATCCAACTGGTCACTGGGGTTTCATGCCTGTAATCCTAGCTACTCAGGAGCCTGAGATCAGGAGGATCACAATTCAAGGCCAGCTCTGGACATACATGTGAAAGCCCTTCTCAACCCATAGCTGGGTATGGTGATGCACACCTGTCATTCTGTGCTATGTGAGAGACTGTGATGAGGAGAATCACAATGGTTCCAGGTCAGCCTTGGGTAGAAAAGTCTTCGAGACTCTCATCTCCAGAGGGAAGCTGGGTGTGAGACATGGGCCTGGCATGCAAGCAAGGATGGAAAGCCTAAAGTCAGTGGATCTTGGTCCAGGCTCATACCTTGATGAAAATGAGATCCTGTCTTAGAAAACAATAAGCCAAAAACAGAGCTGGGTTATGGCTCAAGTGATAGAGCATCAGTGGTCCTGAGTTCAAGCTCCAGTACCATCCCATTCCAATTTTTTTTTTACCCAATGTTGTGAGATTCCAAGAAAAAACAATAATCTGAGTCAGGTACCCACCATTGGCTCATACCTGTAATCCTAGCTACTAAGGAGTCTGAGATCTGAGGATTGTGGTCCAAAGTCAGCGCTGGTGGAAAAGTTCATGAGACTCTTATCACCAATAAACTACTCAGAAAAAGCCAAAAGTAGTGCTATGGCTCAAGTGGTAGCGCTCTAACCTTGAGTACAATGAGGCTCAAGCATCCAGGCCCGAGTTCAAGCCCTAGGACCGGGGTGTGTGTGTGTGTGTGTGTGTGTGTGTGTGTATGTGTGATGTGTGTACATATATATATATATATATATATATATATATATATATATTGTAATATGCAGGCTCCAGAAACTTTTCTCATGAGGTTTTCCTATTTGACAGCTCTTATCATTTGAACCCCTTGAGAGGATGGCTTTCCTCATAGGTTCTTCTGTTGTTTCTTTAGTTACTTGGTTTTGTCTTTTTGTGTATTGAGACAAGGTCTCATGAGCTAGGCCAGAATGGTCTCAAACTCAAAAATCCTCCTTTCTTGGCCTCCCAAAATGCTGGAATTGCAGGTCTGTACCACCATGCCCAGTTTTTCCCAGCATTTCTTTGGGCAGTTCCCACATTTTGCGTCTTAGGAGTTGTCACCATTGTTGCTCATGCCTCATTCTTGTCTGGCTTGCAGAGAAGATGAGAGGTTTCTTTCCTCCAGTGGTTAGTGTACAGAGATGTGGCCGTGCAAAAGGAGAAACCATCTGGTTTGTTCACATGGCTGTATTGAGAATAATGGGATATGAAAAGTAAACAGGATCTTCAGGCTTGTCAGGCAAATGCCCTATGCAGATGAGGCAGCTGAGGTCCAGAGGACTTAAAGTCCCTTCTCTGTGGAGTCATGAACAGGACTATAAGAGGGATATTTGGCACTGGGCTACATGGTTTTCATCCTGCACAAAACTAAGTTTTGACTCCATAGCTACTCTCCAAGGGCTTCCATTCACATAGTTAATTTAACTTGATTTGAGTGCTACTAATCTAATGGTTATGCTTCATTCCCATCAGACAAATGTTAGGAGTGATGCTGTTTGACTGTTTGACTCTTTGCAATCATATTTAGAAACTAGGATGAGGGGTTAGCAGACAGATAGGCATGTATCGACCCTGCAAGGAAGGGAATTTAGAGCATGGTGATTTCCTAAGGGATCTGAATGTATTGGATATATCTCTCTCTATATTCCCAGCTGAGAGAAAAGAACTTCCTCTGTTCCCTTTCCAAACCACTACATTTCAGTCCCACGTGGTGATGTGCTGATGATGGGTGGTGCAGCTGGTTTGCAGCTAGAAGCCATGGTACACCTGCAGGTGTGTGCTCACCAGCTGCAGGTCTGCACGCCCAACCAGGGATGTCCACCACCTGCAGGGAGTAATGGCTAACCAGGTTCTTGTGACGCAGTACAACTGTGGGCTGCAATTATCAAGACTTTCAGATAAAACATTGCTTCACTAAGAAAAGAAAGTTTTAGGCCAGAAAAAGTGGAGAGAACTTCATTTGCATAATAACCAGGAAAAACCTGGGTGTTCGAGTGGTAGAGCACCAGCTGAGTAAACGAGTTGAGTAAATGTGAGGCCCTGAGTTCAAACCCCAGTAACTGGCAGAGAGAGCAAGAGAGAGAGAGAGAAGGAGAGAGAGGGGGAGAGAGAGAGAGAGAGGGAGGAGGGAGAGAGGGAGAGAGAGAGAGAGAGGAAAAAGAAAAATGTTTTGGGTTTTATAAAGAGTACAGTGATATGATTGATCAGATGGAGATAAGCATAAGAACATGACTCTCCATCAGAATCTGGAAAGGTAGACTATCCTGTAGTTGTTTGATGGAGTTCTATGCTCAATCTGGCTCAGAATCTTGCGCAATTAGGTTGGTGAGCAAGGGACACTTGGCAAAATTTTTTGGCTCACCTAAGGATTGGTCTAAAGGTGTTTGGAAGAGCCTGAGGCTGTTATTTGATCATGTATCATCTTACCTTATTAACAAATGGGAGCTTCACTTCTGGATTAACTGAAGTCATTATTAGAGAACTTGATAGGTCCCTTTATCCACCTATGGATATTCTGGCATCTACTTTGTGCCAAAAGGATCATCTGTTTATCACTTTAATAGTGATCTCTCCTGCCCCCATATATATTCATTACATGTGTATTCTCTGCTTTCCATCATGATGAGAAAATACTTGAGATAAATAACTTACAAAGAGAAAAGGTTCATTTTGACTGATGGTTACAGAAGTTTCAGTCCCTGGTCAGTATCCCTTTTTGCTTGGGCTTGTGGCCAGGCAGAACATTTTATAGGGGAGCCTATGATAGGCCCAGCTATTTATTTCATGGTGGCTATTAAGCCAAGGATGACAGGAAGGTGTTGGGAACCCAGAAGCCCCTCCAAAGCCCCTCCATTAGTCTCCTAATTTCCTACTAGGTGTCACATATTAAAGAAAGATTCCCCCATCTCTCAATAGCACCAAGTCCTGAGGAGCACACCTTTAACATCAAGGAGTAGATGTTGCTGATTCAATCATAGTAAAGTATGAACTTGGGTTTTTTTTTCCTAGAGTATGACATAATATTATCTGGGACATGGAGATCTGCTCTCCAGGGAATCCAAAGTTCTGTCTATATAGAGAATCAAGAAATTAACCCAGCTACTTGGGAGGTGGCAGCAGGAAGATCATGTCCAGGCAAAAAGTAGCAATGAGATCCTATCTAAAAACCAAAATGAAAACAGCAGGTTTGGTGGCTTAGCTCAAGTGATAGAGCACTTGCATAGCAATACTGGAGGCCTAGGGTACCATCCTCAGTAGACTAAAAGTAAGGGGCAACTAAGAGCCCTAGGAAAAATGAGTAATGCCAGACTCTACCTACACTATGCTATTCTTTGGGTAAAGAATGCAATGGTAGGGAGGGGTGAAGCAAGAAATGGTAAAGGGATGAAAGGCGGATTGAGAAGGACTACCTGAACTCACATAGATTATTGTGCCTGGCTATGGTGTTCACAGTCAGAAGACATCAAATTATTATACAAACCCAGGCACTAGTCGCTCATGCCTGTAATCCTAGTACTCAGGAGCCTGAAATCTGAAGATCATAGTCCAAAGCTATTTATGGTAAAAGTAAATAAATAAATAATAAATAAATCAGACTTTAGCCAGTCAAAAAAAGACTAGATTGGAGGCATGTCTCAAGTGGTAGAACACAAGCCATGTGCAAAATATTGGATCAAAAGCATGAAACCTTAAAGTTCAAACTTTAATACTGGCACACACACACACAAATTATTATGCAAAATGTTATGATCCATTTTTTTAAACAAATGAGGGGAACCTAAATTGAAACCATGAGGGTTTTTGTAAATTTTATTTTAAAGATGCTGTACAGAGGGGTTACAGTTACATGAGTAAGGTAATGAGTACTTTTCTTGTCAAACATTGTTACCACCTCCTACCCCTTCCCTCCCTTCTCCCCTTCCCCCTTCCCTCCTACCTAAGGTGTAAAGTTCATTTCCAACATAGTGTTTTGTGAGTATCATTGTTGCAATGGGTCATCCTTTGTCCTTGTTTCAGCATTTTGTTATTCCCCTTCCCCTCCTCAAATTAAATAAATGTATATACAAGATGCAGTGTACCAAAATCAAATACAGTGACAACTGGGGATATACCATAGGGGGACCAATATACAAAAGAAACAAAAAAAATCACATAGGTTTTATTGGTCTCCAATTGAAGCTCAGAGCCTGGGATGTAGCTCAAGTGATAGAGTTCCTGCATAGAATGCATGAGGCCCTAGGTTCCATCCCCAGCATGAAAGGGGGAAGAAAAACAAAAGAAAGAGAGAAACAGCCAAAAGAAAGCTCAGAGGCTGGTCCTCACATGTCCATACACCTTGTAAAACTGGAGCCACTGGGCTCTGCTTCTCTGTGTGCAGTGGGGCTGGGTCCTGGAATCAATGCTGCTCTTGTTTCCAAGTTTAGACAAGCACTCACCATCCATGATATCCCTTTAAGAGAAATCCAGCAAAATGTTCTTGCCAGTACTGCAATTTTATTTGCTCATGGCCAAGTGGCAATGGCATGTACTGGTTCCATAGCAACATGTCTGTGCAGCCAGAAAAATATAATGCTTGGGACAGCCAGTGTATACCGGGCAGGGCAAACACAGCCATGATAGCCCCTTTTCCTTATCCAGCTTCTCCTGGGCTTTTCCCCTCCTGGGGCCTGCGATAGTGCAGGGAATGTGCACTTTGTCATCCTGCTATCTATCCCTGCTATTAGCATTGTGCCCGTCCCTGTCCAACTTGGAACGTGATGAGGGAGAAGGTGATGCTGGTGTACCATCTTGCAGGCTCCAGAGGTGCCAGAAGGGCTGAGGACCTCCTGCCTTAGCAATAGAGAGTCTGTACTGCCTTTTTTAAATACTCTGCGTGCTAATGGAGCACCTCCCTTGTAATAGCATGGCAGGGGAACAGAATTCCTGTACGTG